GACTGCATTGAATTGACCTTGAACTAGATCAGAAATTAAATTAATCGTAACAGTTAGATGTAGTTTGTTTATTTCAAATGAAAAAATGCAGAACAGAAAACATCTCCACTAATAGGGTTTTCGTGTTGGAGACATGGAAAAACAACGGAGAAGTTAAAAAATTCTGGAAAAAATGTCAAACATGTACGTAATTTGTCAATAAAGATCAGAAAGTTATTTTTACATTTGCATCCATTAAGATTATCGGAGCGTACTAATTATTCAACATTTATATAAAAATGAAGTTGAAAAACATTCCCACTTCATAAGAAAGATTTCATTTATAAATTTTGACTTTTATATCATGCTGACTGTCTTAAAGAACCGTTTCATTAAGCGACCGTTTTGGGTGTTTCCCTTGCGCGGTCGCTTAACACAAGTTTGACTGTATTTTAAAAAAATTGAGGTATGGATCTCAAGACTTTCAGTCTAAACTTATGTTCAATCCTTGATCTGCAAATGAAACCAGTTATGTGCTTTGGATACATTGGATACATTTTAATGAATGTAAATAAAATAATAAGTAAAAAAATGAAACACGGAATTAAAAAATTTATCATGAGGCTGAAATAATGATGTAACAAAACAATAATAATTTTATACATCATGAAAGAAAAACTTTTATCACTTAAGCATCAAACAAAGTATCGGCCGTCATCTCGAACTTCACCTCAAACATTTCAATGTCGCAGAACATAAGTAGGTCAGTATTTAAGCAGAACTCAGTTGACACCTCCAGAACTCTGGAACACAAAGTGCGTTGATATGTAGCATATTTACCCACTTTGGGGTCATTTTCTCGATTTACAGGGCTTCTTCTGTTTTCGTGTATTTTGGCATCATTTGAATATATTTAACACAGTATCTATTCTATGTGCTCTCTCTAGTAGCTGGATTTGTCTGTGATAGCACATTCCAAAGTTCACAGCCATATAGGGCCTTTGATAAAACAACAGTTTCATACAGATGTTTCGATGTTAGAGGATGTAAGCCGTCACTTTGTACACCGCAGTCAGATAACCTGAACAATGTTTTTCGTAATTTTGTGCAGCTCTCGCTCACTACTTTAGCAAAGTCTAATTACTTATACACAGAACTCCGGAATGTTAGAATGTGTGAAGTTGGCGGCCTGGCGGCCCAGCGGTGTGAAGTTGGCGGCTGGCGGCCCAGCGGCATAAAGAAGACATATCTTACCATTTAAAAGTTACATAAAAAAAACATTTAGACAGATTTTTTTTTATCTCTAGCGACCTGTCAGTTTTTTTTTATCTCTAGCCGGAAATTTTAATGTTGTAGAAATGTTATAAATATGATAAAAACGTTACTTTATGGGGTTCATTTAATGAAGTTTTAAGAACAATTCTTGTTATTTAAAGGATATATGAAAAGAAAAAATCACTTTCAGAGAACTTTTTTATTTTCTCATTTTTGTGAAGTTGGCGGCCCAGCGGCCTGACGACCAAACATTTTAATTTTGTAGAAATGTTATTTTAACAATAAAACGGCATTTAATGAAGTTTTAAAAACAATTCTTGTTATTTAAAAGATAAATAAAAAGAAAAAAATCCCTTTCAGAGAACTTTTTTATTTTATCATTTTTGTGACGGCCAAAAATTTTAATGTTGTAGACATGTTATTTTAACAATAAAACGGCATTTAATGAAGTTTTAAAGACAACTCTTGTTATTTAAAGGATATATAACAAGAAAAATATTACATACATTCGTATGTAATATAGGTACGATTGCATACTACTTTTTGTGAAGACTTTATGTTTGCTGAATTAAAGGTGTAATGTAAAATGAACAAACATGTCATGAGATATTTTATATCTTTAAACATTTTCATGGAATGTAATTAATGTATCACCATATTAAAGTTGCATGCCTTCAGATGAGAAAAATGATTTCAAGGAAATCAAAATATGAAAAGAAAATTCACGGTCAATTGACTGCTTTGAAGCATAATCACAAAATAAAATTACAGGAAATTAAAAACCTTTTTAATACACTTAAGGTAGAATTTCTTGTAAATCATAGTCGCAGGTTTGAGATATGATTAATTATTCATATTAACATCATTATTGGTTGTATATTGATAAAAAAACCCGAAAGACACAGTTTGTAAATATTTATTACAATAAAATATGAAAAAGGTATACGCGCCGAGGTTAGCTATAATTAAAATTCCCGCGCTAAGTCGCGGTGGTGCTTGGGATAATCACTTCATACTGTAAATGGCAGCCATTTTACGATACGAATCCTTGGACAGTTTATCCTGCCGAAAAGATATGAAAAAATACTTGCAATTCAAAGTTTGCTGGCTACATAAAGATTATCGATTTACTCTTTGCACACTTTTTGTCTGCCTGTGTATAATAATATTGACGTGTTTTCATTGGCTTAAACCATCACGTTACCAATACAAATGTAGGTGTGAACTAATTTCGTGTTCATTAAAATTATTCCGTTAATAGACATATAACAATCTTATTTACAAATGAATTGATAAAACAACAATCCCAGAAGCATTTAAGATAATAACAATCATTGGAAAAAAATAAATGCATATAAATTGTAAATTTGTGTATGACAACTCAACCCCCTAAACAAAACATAATAGACTCAACCAAAACAAGCGCCTGCTTCTTCACCTAACTATGTAGTTGCGTGACCATGATTAGCAATTTAGCAAACCAAATCTAAGAGATAAACCTATTGTAAAAATAATACTATGACCACAGCAGATTTCGTACAGAAAACATTGTGTTACTTGTTTTACACCTTATTACAATTATGAATTGATTTCTGATATTACTAGAATATTATTTTTTTTAATACTTAAAGAAGGGAGATGTAGTATGTTTACGGGATACGGACAAAAGCCCCCCCCCCCCACGGACAAAAGCCCCCCCCCCATCTAAAAATGACAAGGTGGACAAAAGCCCCCCCCTGAAATTTACACATAGGACAAAAGCCCCCCCCCCCATAAAAAAGTAAAGGTAGGACAAAAGCCCCCCCCCATGGTTAATCAAATTTACATAAAGTGTATTAAAGTTGTGTTTTTTTATGTGTTTAAAAGATATGTATGGACATCACATGTAGGTGACATAGTGCTAAGGATATTAATTTGATCCCTTTACAAAAGTGAGTAAACATTACTACTCTTCTGACCCTTGTTGTGTATATGAAAAGCAATGAATTCGGTATCGCATGCATGCATTATTTCATGGTATCATATACTTTGTTAACACTTCAATATATACATTATAAGTAAACATAAAAACAAATTCTTTTCATCTTTATTTAAAAGTTTGTGTGAAATTTGATGAATTTGAGCACCTGTGCGTGTGGAAAAAGATGGGGGGCTTTTGTCCTACCTGTATTTTTGATGGGGGGGGGGGCTTTTGTCCTATGTGTAAATTTCATGGGGGGGCTTTTGTCCACCTTGTCATTTTTAGACGGGGGGGGGGGGCTTTCGTCCGGGGGGCTTTTGTCCTACACTCTATGTTTACCATACTGTTATCTTGGAACAGACTATTGCTAGTCTATACATGTAACCTGGCTGGAATTATCCGGCAGTCGTTGACCAGCTACACTTGTAGTAAGATCGCTTGATCATATCTTTATATTACTAGTCTTGTAAATAAACTGTATATATATGTATATCTGACTTTGTTATTATACTTGACTTTATTATATAGTTACAACGATACAACATGTAATATCTGTGTTGTATCTTTATAGCGTGTATGCGCTAAAGTATATACGATTGCATAATGTCAAAAAGAGAAACGTTGAAAGATACTATAATAAAATAAAAATATATGACTGTGTTAAAACACCACTTAAAATGTATTATAAAACCAGTTTTAGTAAACCGATTTCAAATTAATTCTTGCAAATAATTAAAAAAAAAATTCATAACTTGGTGTTGGTAAGGAATCGAACCAGTGACCTTCAGATCATTAGTCCGACATCTATACCAATACACCACGCCTCCCTGACGAGTGAAGTAAGCAAATATATCGACATATTCGATAGATACTGGTCAGTGTTTATTCAAATGACCTTTACAAAAGTTAATGAGGTGCCAGGTCAATATTGCTGGGCAATAACTAGATTATCAAGGGAGAAAGAAAAACAGCTGCATATACACATAGTCTCTAACCTATGTTTATTGGCAGTTTAATACCGTTTTTTCTTCTTTTTGTATAGTGACAAAATTACGAGGAGTATTAGAATTTTTTACATTTCAATCAAAAGATATTTTAAACACAGAAAGCACTTTAGGTTGCAAACAACTAAATTCTCTGGCTCTCACAGTCACTTCGTAGTAAACTGAAAGGCCAAATCGAGAAAAAAATATTTTTAGAAAATAAACCAAGTGACCAAATATTTAATGTTTAAATGCACTATAATAAAGGTATAACCCATATAATAGTACCAATGTCTTAATCACGTGGTACACTTGCATTGACTGTAAGAATATCTCCCATTTGGGAAATAATCATTACAAAAAAGTGAGCAGTAATAATAGGCATTGCCATGCGTCCATGTACAACGCAGCTGAATATCTTTATAGAAATAAAAGGTTTGAAGTTTCAACTATTGAAAACAGTCATTGGAGTATAAAATCTCTTTTTTCCTTTACTTTTCTTAACAGATTTAACACTTGACAATATAAAGATAAAACTATTTAAGTACAAACCTTATTTTTTCATAATATTATTTTGGCTGATCCAATATCCATCAATTTCATGCTGTTGAAATTTACGACAAATCGTTGGTTCGTCAAAGATATCCTTAATTTTAGGAGTATAATGTAATCGAGAATATTATTTATGTCTTGCCTATTTTTTTAATTTCGTCAGAAAGACAAGTATTTACAAACTAGCTATGGTGAAAGATCATGTGCAAACATTGACATTACTTGTATGTTTTCTGATTTACTTTTTTCAGACCTCTGACAGATAAGAATTGAAACGAAAGGAGAGGAACGCCAGTGGCAGAAGCAATCAGTTGATTATCCAAGAACGACATGGACTTGTTTATCTTTAAAAAAATGTCAACAGACTTTGCACGATGCCGCTTCTTTATAGCAATATATTGACCAGGCTTTTATATGGCTTGGATAGTAATTAAAAAATTATAATATTTGTCAAGTGAAATTGGATTAATGTTCTCTTTACAACATACAGTTTAAGAATTCAGATATTTTTTATCGTATTTGCAAAAAAAAAAATATAGAAAAAAAGAACTGGTGAACTAGTATTTGTTTACACCAAGCGAACCAGCAGACTCTTCTTTCTGATTTAGTACACACATTTTTTGGGAAGTAATTTTTCCCAAGACGGCATTACAAAAAGACAGTACATGGATATATTTTATTATGGTGTAAAAAGATGGCAATATGGATGATCTTCAATCAACAAGTAGAGATTTCCCGAAACAATCATGGTCACATGACCATTTTATTAGGGAAAATGGTTCTTTACAAAGAAACACGACGTTTTCTTTGGACAATTATACGCTTCATCATGCTCAATATAGCGATTCGATGAAATTTCTAGTGGATTTTATATATGTTTTAGATGAGTTTGGAGTACCTACGCTACTCACAGTTGGAGTTATTTTTAATTTGATACTCTCTATCACCATTCGGAACTCAGAACTCAAAAAGGTTGCGGCTTGCTGTTATTTCTTCTCAATTGGTATCGTCGATACGTTGTATCTTATTGCCATGGCGATTCCTTGGGTATCAATCCGTGTGGTAGATATTTATAATACAGAAGGATTTTGCCAGATTGTTTATTATCTAAACCTTTTAACAACATTTTTGTCTAGTTGGTTTATAGTAATGCTGCTAATTGAACGGCTTTGCTTTTGTTATAGACCAGACACGGCTGAAAAATATCTGAACGCTTTCAGAACGAAATGTTACATCACTGTCATTTCTGTTTTCTCTGTGGTTGGACACTTATATCATACATGGACAAGTGGAGTATATGATATCCAGGGAACAAATATTTGCATGTTAATATACGAACACACCAAGGACATTATGATAATGAGAAAAATTGATACTATCTTGGCATTTATTCTCCCTGTAGCATTGTGCTTATTTTTTATTTTGCCTTTACTAACGTTTCTCTGTGCCTCTAATATGAAATGTAACGATGGTACATTGACGGTAAAAACTCGAATGGTGACTCTAGAAGTAAAATTGAACTCGAAAAAGATGGCAAAGTATACAGAATGTCCCTCATGTTCAAGTGCGGCTAATTATGACAAACTGTTACGGAAAAGGTTGAGAATGGTATCTCAGAGCAAGCGGTTGACTCTGGTGTCTGTGATAGTAGCTTTGGTCTATGCGTTTTTGTTTATACCACACAGTGTCATAAAATCACGTGTAACTTTCCTAAATGGTGATTATCACGTAACATTTGAAGACGCACTTTTTCTCAAACTGTTTGAAGAATTGTTTAAAATCAACTTTGCATATAAGGCGCTTGTGTATTTTACACTGTTACCGGAAATGAGGAAAAATCTTATAAAAGCTTTTATTCCTAGTTGTAAAAAGAAAAAAACATTCGAATATGAGCAAAAAAGTTTAGAAACACAGTTGTGACGCTCATTGTTAACCTCTTCGACAATAGTTTCAACAGGATCCTATAAAATTGGACTGTTCCGTTTCTTTCCTTTTATATTGACGTTCGAACAGTTTATAAGATATCGAAAGTGGTAAATTAAAAGAGTCCATGAAATTTCAATAGAATACAGAACTTTATAGATTGTGTTGATTTTTTTACACAGCAGTATATCGTTTCTGGTGATACTATAGGTCAATTTGATTGTTTACTAGTTGTTCAAATACTCTTAAGAAATAATTATCAAAATTATGAATACTGAATTTTTTTAAGAAAATTGACCTATTTATTGTAAAGACAAAACGATTTGATGCTTCAATTTTTAAAGATATCTGCTTGCGAAAGCATCTTTTAAAAAAAAATATTAATGTGCCGTTTTCCTTTCAGTTTCACTTACAATTTGAAATTCTTCATTTAGTAATGGTAAATAAGTTTCAGTAAAAGCCCATTATACTAAAGGTTCAATGACACCACCGGAGACAATAATTAGCTATCTTGTTATTTTGTAGTATTTTGCAAATACAATTCGCGATTCTATTTGGCTGTTTTCTATGTTCATTTACAAACCAATTAAACTGGAGTGAGTAATATTTGTCCACTGAAGCTTTGTAGATAAGACAATCGTTGTTGTACAGGATATTCAAGCTTTTATATTACATGTATTTGCTGTAACAAGTAGACGTTACTCACCTATATTCACTAAAATGCTTGTATTGAAAGATATATCCTTTGGATGATGTTTAGTGTTCGTTTTTAAATCGATTAAAGTATAATTGTGTGACAATTAACATATCGATGAATTTAATCATGTTTTGATGCCTGTACATGTTTTGATGCCTGTACGGAAACTAGATGCGTGAGTTAATTAAGTTTCCTGATTTTGGGATATCAGAAGAAACATTTTCTTTAAGACTGAACAAAGCAATAAAATGCAAACACATACATCACAAGTCGAGCTGATATAATGCGAAGAAATGTACTGGCAAAAAATAAATCGTTTATTTATATAGTAGTTACGTGCTTGTTGTATAGGGATTACTTCTCACTGTCTGTCTGTCTGTCTGTCCGTCTGTCTGTCCGTCTGTCTGTAAATCATGAATATTTATAAGGTCAAATTTAAACCCACAATTCAGGAAATTAATTAATAAAGCGGACTGGTAGTGTCGTAATAAAATGAATATTAATGAGGCCAAAAAAAGTTTGATAAGTATTCATCCGTAGCTGTTTTGCAGAAATTAGAAACATTCTCCGGTCGCTATCGCTCCCGTCGAAGTTTCTAATTTCTGTATGAACACGAACATATACATAGCGACCGCAAACATTTAATAGACAATGCTGAAAGCTCAATGTTTTGGGCTGAGGTTACTATAATTCTATAAGATCCGAAGTATAAGGTGCTATTTCCTATACTTTACTTGCATTAATAAGAACATTATGGAAAAAAATAAAGGAGGAAGGAAATTATATTTTTGAATAAGAAAGTTTTAAGTAAAAACTGTTTTGTAGAATATTCCTCGCGGCCACACGCTGCTAAATGTAAGCTGTCCGATAAAAGCATAATTGATAATGCCCGCTCAAGTGGTCACTATACCCTTTGCTGGACCGCTTACGTCATCGTGAATAATATACTATATAAAAGCCCGCTGACACTTCTTATTTCTTTAATTAAAGTTATGATGCTTTGTCCAATACATTAGAATATTCAATTACCTTCATAGAGGTTTCACTTGTGTTTAATTACATATATTTGCAGCGTGTCTTTAAATGTGACCTTGGTCTTGTCTAGGTAAAGCATGTGCTCTCTTATAGTGACGTTAGTAGATACTAGACATTTGTGATTTAAGACGGTGACTTCAGTCAAAGGAAATGGGTCGTCTCACAATAATAAAGAAAATGAACTACAGTTTCGTATTTGTCGTATTATTTTATTATCATTAGACATTCATAGTATTAATCCGATTTGTTTTTTCCTACAGACATGACCCGTGCATATCGTTACAACACGTGGTAAAACTTTCCGACGATGTCTGACTTGTAACTCTTAATTTCAGCAATGGCATGCTTAACACATACACGATACTGTCGAATAGATTCTATTCCTGTTTAATTTTCGACATTTTAATTGTTGTCGTGCGTTCATCAGTCGTAACTGAACTTCGGAATACGGAGTTACAATCGGATGTCTATTTGGATATATTTTATCACCAAGTAGAACACAGTCGTCTGGGAAAGGTAAATCAGTTCCAATGTGAACTACTGTGCATCATTGAGATGCCCTCAATATATCTTATTCTGCCTGCATTATAACCTGGGAATGAATTGCGTGAAAGCTTCTGTGTCCAGAATAATATTGCTGCTGTTGTGCATAATAAGGTCTGTAGATTTCATCTATAGCTGCTACGGCGGAAAATAATTTACCCATGTGTATTTCATACACTACAGACGGCCAAATGATGAAAGATTTCAGTTTTAAATAAAATACTGGAATAAGAGTTCTAATTTCTTCTTTTACTGTTGGCACACTGATATTAAAATTGGTACCGATGCTGTGAAAGGAACACCATATATATCATCATCATCTGATCCGAACAAGCGTTGCCTTATGTCTAAAAGAGGGTCAGGTGGGCATTCGTGTCAGGTGGCAATCGTAAGAGAATGAAAATGATACGTAATAAGTCAACAAATTTACTCGTATCCGGGGGGGGGGGGGGTCTGCACTAATGCTGGTAAAAACGCAGTATGCTCCTTACTTGTTTATCCATCATTGCTGCAAAAAGTAAAAAAATAAAAGTAATTTTAATGAACAAAAGTAGACAAAACCGAATCCCGCGAACAAATACTGATTTGACGTGCAGAAATATTGTAGTGGCTTATGTGTCACAAGTATGCTGGCTGATTTGGTACAATTTGCGCGTTGCGTTGTCGATATAGAAATAGCCAATCCTTCGATTTGAGCCTAGGGACAATGTGACATCGCGACAACACGTCGCACGACAACGTGCCGTTTGGTGTGCTATGTTAACGACAAGACGACAGTGCGATAACGCGCCGTTTGGCGCTTTGCCGTGCTGTCGCTACCACAAAGTGTTCCAAATCAGCCACCATACAAAAAAGACTTCAAATATGAAATAATACATAATGAAAATGTTTGACTTAAAATTTTAAGCTACTAAAGCAAAGCAATTACCAAAACTAGGTCCGCCCCTGCATATATCATGGTAAAATAATTATTGAACATGAGTTTTTCGTGCAATGTTCGTACATTACACGTATAGAATAGAAAACGAGTGGGGTTGTCTATACGATGTAGACACGAGCGTTAGCGAGTGTCTGTATCGTATAGACAACCCCACGATATTTTCTATCTGACTTAGACCACGTGACAAAATCAGAACATATGGTGCTTACAGACCAGTTTATGCATAGGGATTTGCATGTAAGACTCTTATTTGTACTCTTTTTTAATAGATTTAAAACACATTTCGCTATCAGTTTCTGAATGTTTCTGTCATACCAACGTTGTATCCTTAGCTATGTTTGACAACTATTAAGTATACATGACGGATGGTCCAATAATTAATCTTTTTGGCGTCCGCGCCGAAGCGCGGCGCCTCTTATGGAATGAAATCAGATTTTGTGAAAGCGCGAGCCTTTTAGTCGGTCATAATAAAAGCCGATCATTCCGATCGGTATGAGGGTGTTTGATAAATTAAAAATGAAATGTCGCGATATGTACAATAAATAGCGAACTGGAGAATTTCGCAATGCAAACATTTTCAAATCCGTCAATAAATCGCGCTCTTCGGGGTATTTTTATTTATCATTTTGTAGTACACAGTGGGTTATTATGGTATGTTATTGTTGTTCTGTGTATATGTATCCGAAAGCTGTAAATAGAATGATGAGTTGATGACCTAAATATTCCGAAAATCTATTTATAGAGGGATGTACTCCTATCGGTAATTCCCGGTCCCTCCTGGTCTATTTTGACCGGGATGTACTAGTGACCGGCGAATCGTTTATTGTCCGGTCTCTCCCGGTTTTGGAGTAGATGTTTGATATCGTTACAGAACAGAACACATATTTTACAGATAAATAAGCTTTTTTTCAAAATGAATGTTTGTCACTTAGTTTGGTTACAATAATTAATAAACACAGATCAACTCTCAAATTTATTATTATACATAAACATACAATTCGAAAAAACAACAACAACAATAGCATGTTTTGTTTTATCTATATGAGATAAAAACAATAAATATGTACAATAATTGAGAAAAAAGGTACATTTTTATGGTATTAATATGACATTATGAACTTTGAAACATTTTATTTAATTTGTTATTCGTGTTTAGTAAAGATGCCGAGGAATTATTCAAAGTTACAAATTAGATTTTATGAATTATTAAATTGATTGATAATTTAAAAAATGATAAAGAAAAATACAAATGTACATGTATATGGTTTATAATAAACGATATTATATATTGAAAGATAAACCATAATTTACTGACTTTTTCCAGTTAAGTTTTGACTTATAATCGTCGGTCAATATGACAATTGAATTCTTAAAATAGTAGTAAACGTAAAAACTCAGTATTAAAATAGCACATAAAACACAAAAAAGAAAAGAAAACAATATTCATAAAATCTGTAATTTTTTTTTATTAAAATAGATATTACAATTATTGTATAATAAACAATTATGCTCAACATGATCAACATGGTAATATAACCAGTGTCATATTGTTACTAAGTGTGAACAGATACCTTAAGAGGGGGTCTTCGCTAATAGCGATAACATAATAAGGGACAATTACACAAGTGTGGTGTTGATCATGCGTTACACATATGGATTATAAATGATTGTATACATGTATATCCGTTGCTATTAATAACCACGATCATAAAGAAATAACAAGTAATATTCTAATCTCTAGCATGCCAATCAAAGTTAATAATGAACAATGTCTTTCGTCCGTTCATTCATAAGTGATATACAATTCTGGTAAAAACCAATTAACCATTGAAAAGTTTATAAGAATATCTTGTCATCATATATCTACTAGTTCATCTTCACCTGTTGCATTTCTTGCTTGGACGCCCTTTGATGCTTTGCATCAATGCTTTTCTTGTTGATAAATTGTAACAAAAATGTCAAACTGACCGGTGGTTATTATTGTCTGTATTCTTTGCCAGATGAACTGGCACTCATGAATATTCCGTGGGAATCGCCAGACAATAATCGGTTATTCCGACCTTATAACGGGTATATTTTGACGGCCACTCGTATATTTGCGGAACATAAATACTTACATGTGAGGGTATGCGCTATTAAACACCAGTAATTGGTAGTTAAGGTTTTGTATGTCCCTACAGTGTGGCACTTTCAAGATCAACCTACATGGTTATACATGAATATAATGTATATATAATCAAGTAAATGTTCAACTAAATAAGGGGAAGTAACTGCTATATTACCATTTTACAGCTTCTGATTGGCTATAATTATTTCGTGGGAACAAGATATTATCTCGTGGGAACAAGATAATTATTTCGTGGGAACAAGATAATATCTCGTGGGAACAAGATAATAACTTGTGGGAACAAGATAATTTCTCGTGTGAACAAGATAAATAAAGACATCCATGTGTCACATCTGTGCCACCGTAATAGACACTTGACGTAATAGTATGTTTTCTTGCTGTGCTTGTTGGATACAAACATGTACATTTAAAAATACTTATATGTCAAATATTAACTTAACAATATTATATAAGTAACACATGGCTGTCATTTTGCATTATGCTAACTGGTTACTAAAGCAATTATCGTTTTTATCAATACAGAGTTATGTAAGAGTTATGTACCCCAGGGTGATATAAGAAATATTCCCCGGGTAATATATTCTAGGAGGGTGATATTCGATCAGAACACATTGAAGGCCTATGGGAGTTTTACATTGAAGGATATATTGAGGTATAATAATATAAATAGCATATTGCTGTCGGGGTGATAGAGGATATTGTCAACCCGAGAAGTTGTATATTACCCCGAGGCGCAGCCGAGGGTAATATGCCAGTTCAAGGGTTGGCAATATCCTCTATCACCCCGACAGCCATATGTTATTTATTTTATTATACCGAAAAAAACCTTAGGTTCCAAAACATTCATAAGAGAAAATACAGATCAACACTTCAAAATTACAGCGATTTTGATCTGTAAACACAAAAATGTATTGATAAAAACAAGACAAACAGACAGACAGACATATCGTTATTTCTTCATTAGAAAATAAATAACAACAACAAAATCAAATTATTATAATTATTATTAATGGATGCAAAATTACAATTATTTTTAATCATCTATCTATAAAATTTTCATATGTAGTAATTTTTATACACGTGAACATGTACAAGCTTGTAACGGTTTCGCACGAACTTTTCGCTTTCCACGTGGGATTCTTTGCTAAATAAAGATTTTTTTATAAACTATTTAAATTGTATTAGTATGTATATTTTTGCATTATGTTAACTGGTTACTAAGGCATTATCGCTATTATGAATACAGAGTTATGTAAGAGTTATGTGCCCCAGGGTGATATAAGAAATATTCCCCGGGGAATATATTCTAGGAGGGTGATATTCGATCAGAACACATTGTAGGCCTATGGGAGTTTTACATTGAAGGATATATTGAGGTATAATAATATATAATTAACACATGATTGTCGGGGTGATAGACGAGAACTGGTATATTACACCGAGGCGCAGCCGAGGGTAATATGCCAGTTCAAGGGTTGGCA